TGACATTATAGCACAAGAGGGGGGAGGAGGAGCAGTGTGCCTGGTGCTGTGACAGGAGCGGCACTTAAGAGCACTTACACAGAGACAGACAGCCAGGTTGCCTCGGCAGCAGTGCGGACAGGACAGAAACTGAAACTAAAGTATCGATCTCATTACACTGGTATCGATCAATATCAATACCAACGTTGGATCGATATATCGATATTTTGGATCGATCCGCCCACCACTACCATGTTTAATTAGTCTAGTGTTCACTCTCCTGAAGCTCCTAATCACCTTGTGTGCTGAGACAAAGACTGCATGCCTCTCACCAGCAGGGGTTTCCTCGCTGGATGTGATGGCTTGACCGCTGATGGTGATGTTAGTCTTGAAGTGTACATAGAAGATGTTTAGGGGTTTAAATTCAATGTGGGTGGTGCTTAAACCGTAAGTTGGCAGGGCTATCCATTCGTCAATCAGGACCATGGCAGCAGGCATCACCAGGATCCATGAGAACCCTTTGAGACGAGAAAGCACAAAAACTACGGGGAAGAAGTCAAGTTAGTAAAATGCATTAATGGGACATGAATATGTGCAGAAAGAGAGGAGCTCAGTGCATCATGGGAAGTCTCCTGGCAGTCTAGGCCTATAGCAACATAAGTAAGAGATGGTTCACCTGAGTGTGGGTAGTGGGGTAATAGGGTACTATGAGCTCTTAAAGATACAAAGGTGCCTGACCATGAAAAGTTTTGTAAGTCAGGAGGAGGATTTTAAATTATATTTTGATATTTTTATTTTACAGGGAGCCAGTGCAGAAAAGCTAATACAGGAGAAATATGATCTCTTTTCCTGTCAGTACTCATGTCATGGCATTCTCAATCAATTGTAGCATCTTAATGGACTTAGTGGGGCAGCCTGATAATAAGGAATTGCAGTAATTCAACTGTAAATGTGTTAGTTTCTGTTCGATATGGGCTTTGCCATTGCTGAGTGAATGTGTGTGAAAGGGCGAATGTGGCATTTAGTGTAAAAGCACTTTGTCATTGTCCTTTTTATCCAGTCTCTGTATAAATATGAAGTGGTATCATAGAGCTCTTGGTGCACACAGATGGCGGAAGACAGGGTGAGAAGCAAGAGTGAAGCTAAATCCACTTTTTAATTCCAAAAGTTCTTAGATAAGAGCAGAATCTGGTGTGACTACGGGTGTTTATTCTTCCAGAAGCTCTGTCTCTCTTCTGCAGAGCTCCTCGGGCTCAAGTAGCTGTCTGTCAGTGAGCAGCAGCTCTGTCGCTCCGCTCTTCCTCA